ATTGTGGGAGTAGATTGCCCAACCTTCCTTCCGAGGAGTGGCTGGTGGGTTTGAACTGCCAGCCTTCTGGTTAGCAGTCAGATGCCTTAGGCACTATGCTACCAGAGCTCCCCTTTGGTCTCAGCAGATGTCGGTTGGTGAGAAGGGTCCAGATGCTGTTGGTGGCCTTGACCATTGCACCATTTGGAGCTCTCCAGGCCAATGTGTCTTTTCCTCCCAAGCCATGTGACATACTTCATAGAGGGTCTTTGACTTGTTCTTTCCCATTTTATGAAGTCTGTCTTGCCTCCATTATTTTTTCTATATAAGCCTACAGATTGAAAGTATTGGGGATCTTCTTGTTGCTTAAAGAGAATATTGTAATATCTTAAACATGGGAAAGCGAATAATTTACAAAGTGCACAGGAAAAATCAAGTCATTTTTCGCTATTAGTGTCTGCATTTTCTGATACCTTCAGTGCTTTCATGGCATTTGTTTTGGTGCCCACATTCTGAAATTGTGAGGGTGTTTACTGGTCACTTGAATGATTGAGTACCATGAGAAGTACTGTAAGGAATTTTGAGATACTGAAACTCACTCTGGCTATCTAAGAGAATGTAAGGGTTTTAAGTGGAAAAGTTCTAATTTAAGAAATTCTTAGTGAAAAATTCAGAAATCAAAATGTCTGGGACTTTCTCCTTTTTTGCAAGATACAGAGCAATGAAAATAAGCCTCTTATCTGGTTTGCTGTTTAAATCAGTTTGCTGCCCAAGATCCAGTACTGAAGAGTCCGTGCTTAACATAGAAGATAAGGCAGAATTTTTAAAATTAGACTTAATGAATGCTAATGAATACATTAATGTGATTTTAGTGGTGAGAAAGTGAATGCTCTTGAAGACATTTTTTTCCCACTTTATCTCAAGACATTCCATTACCAGTCACTGCACATTTTATCCAGGATGCAAGCCTGATGCTGCCTTCCTCTCCTTTTTAGCCGCACCAGTCAGCTGTCCATATCAACACTGCTGGAATTATGCAAAGGCCAAGCAGGAGAGTTGGCAGTCGGGAGAGAAATACTTAAAGCTGGTAATAACTTTTTACCTAAAATTAATATAGCGTGTTTTGTTGTTTTCCTTAGTAGGCTTTCTGATGTCATAATCTCTTGTGGAGCAGTTATAGGATTTTGAAGTAATTTTGTAAATTGATTCAGTCAGTTAACGGGAGAAATACAAATAATTCTAAGAAGTTCTTGAAACTGATATAGAGTATTTTTGGTGACCATTTGGTCATGTTTTGTTTTAGATTTTAATATCACTATTACTTTTGTTTTACTTTCCTTTTTGTAGGATCCATTGGTATTGGTGGTGTTGATTATGTCTTAAATTGTATTCTTGGAAACCAAACTGAATCGAACAACTGGCAAGAACTCCTGGGCCGTCTTTGTCTTATAGACAGACTGTTGTTGGAATTTCCTGCTGAATTTTACCCTCATATTGTCAGTACTGATGTTTCACAAGCTGAGCCTGTTGAAGTCAGGTAAATTTTCTTCTGCAAATATAATACTGCTTTCCTCTTCTACCCAAGCCTCCCACCCCACCCCACCCCATAAAGGACACAATTTAGATTTATGAAAGACTCAGAAAGTTACTAGAGCCTATAATATTTGATTGAAATGAAAACTGAAGTCTAGGCTACTTAATAAAAAATTTATAGGCTCTTTATACTAAAATGATTTTTAAAGTGTACAAACTATAAATAAGTACCATTTTCTTCATTGGAAATTTTTTTCAAGTGCTTTGTTTTTTAATATTGTGTGTTTGGTGTAGGTTTTCAAAGCATTTTAGATTCCCTTTCAGCAGTTTCTTAGCCAGTTGTTCATTGACATTGGTTATACTCTTCCCAATGCACGAACATTCTTATTATTTCTGTTCTGGTGGTTCTGTTTTATTTGCATATATTTTATAGTAATTTGAACTTGTCTGGTAATTGAATGTGTTTTTTCTTCCAGGTATAAGAAGCTGCTGTCCCTCTTAACCTTTGCTTTGCAGTCCATTGATAATTCCCACTCAATGGTTGGTAAACTCTCCCGAAGGATATTTTTGAGTTCTGCAAGAATGGTTACTGCAGTACCCCATGTGTTTTCAAAACTGTTAGAAATGTTGAGTGTTTCCAGCTCCACTCACTTTAGCAGGATGCGTCGGCGTTTGATGGCTATTGCAGATGAGGTGGAGATTGCTGAGGCCGTCCAGCTGGGCATGGAAGACACTCTGGATGGTCGGCGGGACAGCTTTTTGCAGGCACCTGCCCCTAACAGCTATCCAGAAACCACAGACAACAGTTCCCTTGAACGCACAGTCCATTTAGGGAAAACTGGAAAGGGATTGTATGCTACAAAATTGAGTGCCAGTTCAGAGGACATTTCTGACAGACTGGCCGGAATTTCAGTAGAACTTCCTAATTCAACAACAACAGAGCAACCAAAGCCAATTGTTCAAACAAAAGGCCGGCCCCACAGTCAGTGTTTGAACTCTCCTTTATGTCATCATCCCCAACTCATGTTTCCAGCCTTGTCAACCCCTCCTTCATCTGCCCCATCTGTACCAGCTGGCACTGTAACAGATGTCTCTAAGCATAGACCTCAGGGATTTATTCCCTGTAAAATACCTTCTGCGTCTCCTCAAACCCAGCGCAAGTTTTCTCTACAGTTCCAGAGAAACTGTTCTACAGAAAACAAAGACTCAGACAAACTTTCCCCAATCTTTACTCAGTCAAGACCCATGCCATGCAGTAATATACACAGGCCAAAGCCATCTCGACCTACCCCAGGTAATACAAGTAAACAGGGAGATACTTCAAAAATTAGCATGACACTTGATCTGAACAGTACTTCCAAATGTGATGACAGCTTTGGCAGTAGCAGCAATAGTAGTAATGCTGTCATACCCAGTGATGAGACAGTGTTCACCCCGGTAGAGGAGAAATGCAGATTAGATGTCAATACAGAGCTCAACTCCAGTATCGAGGACCTACTTGAAGCATCCATACCTTCAAGTGACACGACAGTAACTTTTAAGTCAGAAGTTGCTGTCCTCTCTCCTGAAAAAGCTGAAAATGATGATACCTACAAAGATGATGTGAATCATAATCAAAAGTGCAAAGAAAAGATGGAAGCTGAAGAAGAGGAAGCTTTAGCAATTGCCATGGCAATGTCAGCATCGCAGGATGCCCTCCCCATAGTTCCCCAACTGCAGGTCGAAAATGGAGAAGATATCATCATCATTCAACAGGATGTAAGTATATAGAGAATCTTTAAAAGGCTAGAGAATTTTCTTGGACCATGCTAAATCTGGGAGCTCAGGTAGCATAGTGGCTAAGACACTTGACTGCTAACCAGAAGGCTGGCAGTTCAAACCCACCAGCCACTCCTCAGAAGGAAGATGGAGCAATCTACTTCCATAGTGATACTGCCTCAGAAACCTAAGGAGGGGTCGCTATGAGTCAAGTCTGACTCGATGGCACATAACAACAACAACAACATGCTAAATCTAATTCAGAAATGTTGCTGTTAACATGAGTTCCTTGTTGCAAGCATGTTTTTCCACATAGAGTTACTAATTATACAATAGTATTTATATCATTATTTGAGCAAAAATATTCCTTGGCTATTTTGAAGACGTTTTTGGCTAATTCTTTAATGGTGATCACTTACATGTTTGACATTGGCCACTGAGACTGTCTATTCAGAGGTCAAGTTTAGAGGTGGTTTGGAAAGCTAGACTGAACAGTAGTTATATTTTGCCAAGGCTAATTTCATAAAATCTAACGTAACACTTAAAAAGATTGCTTTTTTTTAATATGTAGACACCAGAGACTCTGCCAGGACATACCAAAGCCAAACAACCTTATAGAGAAGATACGGAGTGGCTGAAAGGCCAGCAGATAGGCCTTGGTGCATTTTCTTCTTGTTACCAAGCTCAAGATGTGGGAACTGGAACTCTAATGGCTGTCAAACAGGTAAATATCTAGGGAACATATAACTGAAATGATCAAAATTCTAAAGAGAAACATGAACAAGTGAGAGTAAAAATATGTCTATATCTGTATATACTGTAGTTCTTTAAACTTTGAGAAACTAAACTTTGAAGTAGATGTTACCAGTGTTCCAGAAGCATTATGAGTTCCATTATTATTAAAAGTTGAAGTAGGATTATTATAAGATGCAGTATCAAGATGGGCATTATAGAACATTTTTCCTTTTTTATAGTTAATGGAGGTGTAGTTTCATACTCCTTTTAGCAATGTGTTATTGGTGTGGTTCCATCTCAGGCTTTCTGTGGTTTAGTTTACATGATGAGCACATACACAAAAATGATGAAGCTTGTTTTTCAAATCATGTTAGTTCTTTTTCCATGATGGGGATTTTCTCATTTTTCATTCTGTCTTCAGCCAGTTGGAATATTGGTTATGTCCTAATTTTTTATCATTTTTCTGTTATTTCACTGTTTCCAAAGCTAGATTCTTACTGACTTAAAAGAGTCTGACTTGGCTTGTAAAGTACCTACACTGTGTCCATGAGCATATGACTGCGCTCCAAGTAATGTATAAGCACATTTAGATTTGTCCATTTTTTATCAGATTGTAAATAGAATCTCATCAGAATTCAAAACATTTCTGTAAACCTGTTTGTTTTAAAAAGGTGACATATGTCAGAAACACATCTTCTGAGCAAGAGGAAGTGGTGGAAGCATTAAGAGAAGAGATAAGAATGATGAGTCATCTGAATCACCCCAACATCATTAGGATGCTAGGAGCCACGTGTGAGAAGAGCAATTACAATCTCTTCATCGAATGGATGGCAGGTATGCTCATATGTTACATTATAAATGATAGGTTTATGGTAGTAACTTTCTGCTTATTGAATTTAGGAAAAAAGGTTTGATGAACATTTATTTCTCATTTTTATTAGCTTGGGTTTCTAAAACAAATTGCCTCAGTATATTAATATAAACTATAAATTACCTTATGCTTTGTCTTCATTTAAATATAGATAAAATATTCACTAGCAACCTTTTAATTTTTTTCCAGTGTTTCTTTTAAAGTGATTATATAACATTCTTTCATAAAAATAATTATTTTTTTAAAAACTTGGTATAAGACACAGTAGCCCTGGTGGCGCAGTGGTTAAGCAGTCAGCTGCTAAATGAATGGCTGGTGGTTTACGTTCACCAGCTGCTCCACAGGAGAAGGATGTGGCCAGTTACTCCTGTAAAGATTACAGCCTTGGAAACCCTACGGGGTAGATGTGTCCTACAGAATCACTATGAGTTGGACTCGACTCAATGGCAGGAGGGTTTTATGTATAACAACCAAATTTTCTAAGCGGTTATTATTAATTAGATTTATTGAATTTTTTTTTTAATGTGGCAATATAAAAATAAAGGTATTAGCTAAGATATAACTTAGAAAAACTTACTGCAAGTAAATGAACACTAAAGCATAAAAATGAGCCTTTTCTATTCAAATAGAGGCTGAATTTTATTTTGTATCATAGACTGTATGCAGTAAAATGAATGGGTTGAGATATGATAAACAGATAAGTGGTTGGTTTAACTTCATAATTTTTCTATATTTGAAGAGTGCATTTTTGTTTATGTACTAGTTGTTCACTACATCTGATACTCATCTTCATAAGGACATGCAAGCATGGTGGATAGGCTGAGTATTGCAAACAGTATTTTTAACTGAGGCTGATTGTATATGGGACTTGTACCCAGTTAGGGTTTGTAAATGGTAGGGTACGGAGCCTCACCCAGCATCCTCTGGCTCTTTCATGCATGCTCTTTACCTTCTGCTAAAGTACACGCGTGGTTAAGTCATTAAGTGTTTTGTATATTTTAGTTGAGAAGACAGAAAGGTGGATTACATATTTCAAAAACACTTCCATACAAAATTGTTCATTTATCAAGCTTTCTGAAATCTTGGCCCTCTAGAAAACTCATTCCCTGTGAATGAGTTCTGTGAAAATTTTCCTCAGTGATAGAATTTTGAGATGATGTAAGAATATCTAGTTTTTAAATTAGTTTTATCAATTTAACATTTCAAAAGTGAATATGATTTTTCATGCAGAGTAAATTTAGGCATCCACAGTATGATAAACAATTTTATTTCTGGCTTCAGTGTATAATGATTATTACTCTTTCATACTTGTCTTATAGGCGGATCTGTGGCACATTTGCTGAGTAAATATGGAGCCTTCAAGGAATCAGTAGTGATTAACTATACTGAACAATTACTTCGTGGCCTTTCATATCTCCATGAAAACCAGATCATTCACAGAGATGTCAAAGGTAGGAATTCTTTTAATTATTATATAGTGGTAATTAGAAGAACATGAATATAGTTTTAAAGCTTTGTTGATTACTTCTAACTTGAGATTAACTATGGGATTCTTTCTCCTAACTAAGTCAAGGAATATAAGGAAAGGATATTGAATACCAGAGAGACTGGGATGTTAGTCGATGGCAGAGCAAATATAGAAAGCCCAGGTTTCCTGATTCCTTAAATATTCTCTTGGTAATGCCTCCCAGAAAATATTCTCTCGGTAATGCCTCCCAGAAAGTTCCTGTTGCCAGTTTTATTTAAACTAATTGATATATCACAGAAAAATTTTTAAGAAAATCTTTTACAATCTTTTGCAATTGCCATTTATTTTTATTAACAGTGACTTTAGTTTTCTGTCATGGATCTTATTAGCTAGTGTTTGACATAATGTATTCAGTTAACTTTATAAAATTAATTTTCTAAATCAAGATTTAATTATAAAATTTTAGTGTATAGTTTGAGTTGGTGTAGGTAAGTATGTTTCAGCAGAACCTTGTCTTAGGAACTTTGTCTTAAAATATAAACTATACCCAGAGGGAAGTGAAATTGCTAGCTAGGTAAGGGACACATACTGATTTGGGTGAAGTTGTTGTTGTTGTTATGTGCCATCAAGTCGGCCCCGACTCACAGCGACCCTTCCTTGGGTTTCCAAGGCAGCATCACTACAGAAGTAGGATTGCCCAACCTTCCTTCCAAGGAGTGGCTGGTGGGTTTGAACCGCCAGCCTTCTGGTTAGCAGTCAAGTGCCTTAGGCGGTGAAGAGAAAGGCGATATACCAAAAGCGGGTGACCAGCACAATATCATTAAGGAAAAGGAAGACACAGAGGGGTGTACAGGATGTACAGACAACAGAGGTAAATACTATGCTATACATAATACTGCATTATCAGTAATAACAAAGATTAATCTACACAGGATAATAGATACACAGGCAAGATGATCAGGGATGGATAGGCAAGTGGGAATTAAACCTATGACTATAGGTTTGTTAGATGATAGAGAAAAAAATTGTGTGTGTGTGTGTGAAAAAGAAAAAAAAAAACTGCTGTTGAGTTGGTCCCAACTGCTAGCATCCCCTCCTTGGGTTTCCAAAGCAGTGTCTCTACAGGAGTAGGTCGCCCAGTCTTTCTTCTGAGGAGTGGCTGGTGGTTTGAACCTCCAGCCTTCTGGTTAGCAGTCAAATGCCATAGGCATTACGCCACCAGAGTTCCCTATGCATATAAAACTGTATCCAAATTTGGACTTTGGGGAAAGATATTTGAGGGGAGTATTATATTGAAGTTTTCAGCACTTAAACCTTTATCTCCTTATGCCTTACTTTGTTTTTCAGATTTTCCCCTCTGAGGCTTTAGATTTTATTTTGCACTATAGAGACCTGTGTTCCTTTAGCAACAATGAAGTGAAGTGAGAGAGAGACTTTTTCTAACCTCTGACTTGTATACTTCTTCCTTCTGTCATCTCATTTCATTAGTAGTAGTTTACTGGGTTTTAATCTGTCCATACTTTTGATGTTAACACACAACATCATTTGCTGTTTTGTTGACAGGTGCCAATTTGCTAATTGACAGCACAGGTCACAGACTGAGAATTGCAGATTTTGGAGCTGCAGCCAGGTTGGCATCAAAAGGAACTGGTGCAGGAGAATTTCAGGGACAATTACTGGGGACAATTGCATTTATGGCACCAGAGGTGAGCAGCAGCTTTGAACTTGGTAGGAAGAGAAGCCTTTGTAGTTGTTCATGACAGCATTATACCAAATTATTTTGCATTGGTATTTATTATGTGCTTATGAATTAGAAGTCCATGACCCTAAAAATAAGTTAATAGTAGCCTCAATTTCAGCCCCATATTCCCAGACTTTCCATCTTTGTTTTGACAAAATTCAAAAAGGTAGATTTTTAATAAAGTTGCTTAAAAACTCTTTCTAGCAAAGAATTGTTAGGTCATCTGTAATAGTTGTAATAAGTGGGAAGTGCATATAATTGAGATTTTAAAAAATTAAAAAGTTATCTTGATTCCAGAGAGAGATGACCACACAAAAGCAGGTCTCATCAGTAATGGATAACGTTTAACCAGCATTGCTTTCTGACTTAGCCTCTTTTGTGTTCATACATAGTGGTCATTATTGTCATGTTGCCCCTAGTTTACCAAGAGCAGTGGGGCTGCTTTGAAATTCAGTGATGTGCCTCCTTCAGAATCTCACCATTCTCCAGAGTATCTTTGTGCCACATAGAATAGGAAGCTTGTTAACGAAACAAAGGAAATAGCAGGTAGTCCGTGTAATTGCTGAGCAGTACCATTACTGTTTGTACCCTCATTGTGCTCTGAATTAAAATACTGGAATCCATACTACAAAATGGTTTGCTTTTTTTTTTTTATTAGGTCCCATTTCAAAATTAACTCTCTGCTTTATTTTAGGTACTAAGAGGTCAACAGTATGGTAGGAGTTGTGATGTATGGAGTGTTGGCTGTGCTATTATAGAAATGGCTTGTGCTAAACCACCTTGGAATGCAGAAAAACACTCCAATCATCTTGCTTTGATATTTAAGGTAATTGTGAGATAAATATTACCCTCACAGGTCTTCTTTAACTATCAATCTAATGTGAAAGTATATCTTCCTTGAAATAAATATATAGGCAGAATGTCTCCAGGAATTTCTGTAGTGGGATAGACCTTGGTGGCATGTAATAGAAATGGCACTTTTGTGTATGTCTTTCTAATTTAAGGTTCTAATTTTCTTCATTTAACCTACTCTTTTTTAAAACTTCAGTTGCATATGTAATTTAATAAATGGGAACTTAAAAATTTGAAATATATATTGTACATATTTATATTATATACATTTATAGTACATTTCTAATTTGACTTACTGTTTTCTATATTTCAAAAATTCATACCCACATCAGCCGCCAAATACTATCTGTTCTACCTTTTTGACAATTCTCAAGGCTCCTCTCTCCATTTCCACCACAGAATTAATGTTGTTGTTGTTGTTATGTGCTGTTGAGTCAGACCAGACTCATAGCGACCCCTCCTTGGGTTTCCGAGGTGGTATCACTACGGAAATAGATTGCGCAGTTTTCCTTCTGAGGAGTGCCTGGTGGGTTTGAACCACAAGCCTTCTGGTTAGCAGTCAAGTGCCTTATGCACTGTGCTACCAGAGCTCCCCAGAATTAATGTAATGCATAAGACTTTTAGCTTTCAAGTCAGACATGTAGTTAGCAGCACAGGTTTTGCGGTCTAGCGGGTTTGGTTTCAAATCCTGGCTCCACCCCTTGTTGGCCATGTGATTGTGGCAGAATTAATGTCTCTACACTCTATTCTCTCACCTGTAAAAATAGGTGTAATAATAACACTTACTTTGTGGGATTTATTATAAGGTATAAACAAAATCACCTCTGGGCCCACGTAAAGCACTTAACACACTTTGCCCCTGCTCACTGTGAAGTGGCTGGTATTAGTCCTCTGAGCTAGACCCCCAGCCCCTCTCATCTTCTGTCACCTCTTTCCCCAGCCTTCTCGAGTCCTTCCCTGGCTCATACAGGTTCCTCAGTCACCTCTCTAATAAACCTGTTTGGTGTCACCGCTGTCTTCACCATTCCGCCCTACTTTCCCAGGCCCCATTTCTGTGTGGTTCGAATTCTGATTCCTAGTAAGCCCACATCAGTGTTCTGCCTGCTTACCCTTTCCTCACACCTCCTGCAACACCTTCCCCGACTTCCACAGCACTTCAGGTTGTACCTATATCTACCACTTCCTGTGTGTTGGTCTGATAGTTTGTTATGTGCCTGTCCTATCTCCTTTCTCAAACTCTGAGCTTCCTTAAGGTCCCTTGGTGCCTAATTCGTTTATGTTCCTTCTAAATAAAGTTTTGTACAGAAGTTGCTCAGTGAATAACTGATGGCTCAGATCAATTTGAAAGTTTGATGTGAATTTCAGAGTTTGGTGAAACCACAAATAGAAAAATAGCTTTTTCAAACACTCCCTGTTTGTCGTAGTATAGATTGCTGTGGCACTTTTTTAAGAGGATGATTTGGCACACTCTGCTAAAACTTAAAATGCACTTATTCTTGGAGCCAGCTGGGCCCATTCTTAGGAATTTCTAGATTTACTTGTAGAGTGTTGTGAAGTTCAGAGATAGCCATTTAAACAGTTGCTTGTAATACCAAAAACCTGAACTAAGTTAAGTGTTCAGCAATAGGAGAGTGGTTAATTATCCACACAGTGAAAAACTGTACAGCAATTAAAAACAGTAGTGTAAATCTATTGGTGTTGATTTAGAAAGTGCTCTTAATTAATAAGTGCTTTCATTAATAAGTGATAAAAGCAAGGTATATAAAGTGATCCCTTTGGTAGACATTTTATAAAGAAAATCTAAGATGTGAATACAGGCAGTCTCTAACTACACATTCAAGTTATGGTGAACCACACTTAAAACGATCTGGGGTTATTTTTGTTTTGATTCATCTTATCATTAGTAATATGTACTACATACAGTATTACAGCATGTAATTTGCTGATGGTATCATTCTCAGATGTAATGTTTCCAACCTCCAATAAAAGGCAATAATCATGAATAATAGTGAAAAAAAAAGTATTTGTCTTATGTCAGAATTGACTTAAGATGGACAGTCATCAGAATGTAGCCCTGTTGTAAGTCAGACATGACTAGCTGTGTATGTTGGGTCTGCCTCCCCCAAGAAGGAAACAGAAGAAATTGTTAGCAATGATTATATTTGGGAAGGGGTTTCATTTCTTGTTTTGTGTTTTTCCTTTTTGTGGATGTATAAAGTATATAGGTATGAAATGAGTATCTCTTGGTATAGGATCATGGGTTTTAAGTTTTTTTCTCGATATTCCTTTATGTTTTTGTTTTTTCAATCCAAACCATTCAGGAAATTACTATGGTAGGAGGAGTAGAGAGTTTTCTTATGATTAAGAGAGAATGCAGATGGGTTTAAATTATTTAGATCTAACTTGCTTTTCAAAAAGTCAGTTCTTCTAGTGTGTTTGATACTAAGAATAGTATTTATCCAACATTGAAGAAAAATAATCAGTGCAGTTGTGCTTCTGGTATATTAACTTGTATTAGTCTTTCTTACTCTGCATAGCCTTCTATGCTGAAAAAAATGCAGTGAAGCAAAGAGGACAAACTCAGGGTGAATTTAAGGAAAGCAGATTCATTTCAGTAAATACTTCCTCACCTGATGATCATTTTGATGTATTTAGCCTTGTTCATTTGAGACAAGAAGGAGCACTGCTGATCCATCTAAGCAGGATGTATTTGATCAAATTCTAAAGTTTGAAGAATTTTTAGAGGAAACCTCCCATTCAGTGGGTGAGTTTTTCCATAGATTCTGATAGTAGAAAGTTTGCCTGCTGCTTCAGTTCCTCTGTGAAGAGGATGTATAGGTTAGATGTTATGAATTGTATGCTCACACATTTCTAAATATCAAAAGTTCCAACTGGGGAAAGCTTCAGAGCTCTGTTTTTTTTCCTCCTGCAGATTGCTAGTGCAACTACTGCTCCATCGATCCCTTCACATCTATCTCCTGGTTTACGAGATGTGGCTCTTCGTTGTTTAGAACTTCAACCTCAGGACAGACCTCCATCGAGAGAGCTACTAAAGCATCCAGTCTTCCGTACTACGTGGTAGCTAATTATACAAATAAACTTTTAACAGAGACAGGATGCTCAACCAGAGAATAAAAACTTCTGTGGGGAACCACACTGATAATCTGCTGGCCTTCATGGCACTAAACAGCTGTGAAGGAGGCCAGTGGGGAACCTTACCTAAGTATGTGATTGACAAATCATGATCTGTACCTAAGCTCAGTATGCAAAAGTCCACAACTTGTGCAGAAACTGTAATCGTGCCTTTCAAAGAACTGGCCCTAGGTGAACAGGAAAGCAATGATGTTTGCATGACTAAATAACAGAAGCATAATTTTATATATGTATATTTTTTGTTTTGGAGCACTTTTTCAGCAATATTAGCAGCTGAGGGGCTCAGGATCTATTTTAATGTTTCAATTACTATTCATTACATACCATCATCAGGAGCAGGGGTTTCTGCAGTTCCATTCATTTTTTTTTTGTCACTGGCTATAAAAATCAGTATCTGCCTCTTTTAGGTCAGAGTATGCTATGAGTAGCAATAAATACATACATTTTTAAAAGTTGGTAACTTCTTTATGACTCACAGTTGACCTTTATTTTTTTTAAATGGCTGCGCAGTTGTGGTTCATTGTGCATTTTACTGTTGGCCCATTCATTTCGTTTTTGGAAATTATGGTTCTGTATTTTCATTATGCCTTCATTTTTGTTTAATATTCAGGGAAAGGTGATCTTTTCAAACCAGAAAAATAGAACTAGGTATGAACTAGAGTTCATTAAATATCTTGCTATTGCAAGAGTTTTTTTACATACAGGTTTCATTGTGTTTGCTTTTTAAATTGGATTATGATAAAATGCTACCTTCATTGAGTCAGTCACTGCTCTTATTGTGCAGATTAAATACAAATTAGGTGAAAACTATTCTCTGTGATGCAGCTTGCAACCAAGATCAAGATGACTATGAATTTATTTGAACTTTTTAAATGTATCAGTTTCTTTTGTCAATCTGTAGGAAATTTCACACAATAAGACAGGTTTAGGACTTCTCTGTATGTAACAAACCATCCTTCACCGTCACCACTGATAACATGTACCTGCTGTTTTCCTTCTGCCACGCACCATGTCTCAGTAGGCCTGTCGGTAGATAATAAAAGGAAAATTAATTACTCAATTACCAATGAGGAATGGTGTTTTTAAGCAAAAATTTTCTTTGAGCTTAGAAAATGTGTTCAGAAAGATAAGTGAAATTGAATTTTACTTACACACTATTTCCTTGGATTTTGCACATTTATCTGATGATTTTAGTGTGGAGTTGAATTCAGATACATGCAATCCCTGAAGGAAAATGGCAGCTCTTGTATTCTTTTTTTTGTGAGTCTTTTAAATCAAGTACTGCTTAAGTATTTAATACAACTTTTTAAGATGTTAAGTTTTAACTCTTCAGAAGCCAGTTGAATTATTGCGGAGTGAAATAGAATTGGTTATTCTCAAAGACTCAGGATAAACTAAATAAGCTATATAGAGTACATTTGAAATGTACAACACAAATTGGAAGTAAAATAAGTTACAAGATAAGTTTACAGGGACATACTCTTAGAATTTTTTTTTATAATTTTGAAAAGGCAGGTTTTGTTTTTTTTTTTAATGTGAATGTAGTAAAATTTTACATTCCTTTGTTTTGAAAGATTGGTGATATTTGAAGAGTTAAAAGAAAAATAGTACCGAAATGTGAAGTTTGGTAGCTCTAAATGTGTTGTACTTGACTTTTCTTTTTCTTTTTTTTTTTTTTGGACTACTTAGAATTTTCACAGTTCTAATAAGATTGTTTCCAAGTCTCTCAAGTGCAAGCTTTAAAGGATGCACTCTTGCCATTTTGTGTACTGGAAGATCATTTGTCAGATTAATACTGTGTCTGATAGAAATGTAAACTGTATAAACTGAGGAACCTCAGCTAATCAGTATTACTTATAGATCACCATGCCCACCACATTTCAAACTCAAACTGCCTCTAGATGTCAAAATCCATCGTGTTTGAGTTTGCAGTTCCCTCAGCTTGCTGGTAATTGTGGTGTTTTGTTTTTTGTTTTGTTTTGTTTTGTTTTTTGTTTTGTTTCAATGCAAATGTGATATAATGAATTATTTTCTTTGGATCAAAGCTGGACTGAAAATTGTATTGTGTAATTATTTTTGTGTTCTTAATGTTATTTGGTACTCAAGTTGTAAATAACGTCTACTGCTGTTTATTCCAGTTTCTACTACCTCAGGTGTCCTATAGATTTTTCTTCTACCAAAGTTCACTTTCACAATGAAATTATATTTGCTGTGTGACTATGATTCCTAAGACTTCCAGGGCTTAAGGGCTAACTTCTATTAGCACCTTACTGTGTAAGCAAATGTTACAAAAAAAAAAAAATCTCTGGGTTAAGAAAATTTGGCTTAAATGTATCCTTTGTTATTTTAAATATATCAAGATATTTTAATTAAAATTTTTACCCCGTTGAACCAATTTTATAGTATTTGTACCTATTTTGGTGTTTTGTCTTTATAGTAAATAAAAGTTTTTGAACAAAAATTATCTGTTCCTTTTATTTATTTTGAAATAATTTCAGACTTCCATCTTCCTTGTCATGTCTCTCATTATGGCTCCTGTTCAATCCAGAGCTGTTCCTCAGGCCTACCTTGACCTATACCCTTAACATTTTTTAAGTTGACAGGTTATTTTATACAGATCCCTCATTTTAAGTGTCTGATGCTTCCTCATGCTTAGATTCAGAGGATCTATCTTGGGCAGGAATAGCAGAGAAGCAACACTGCTGTTCTCAGGGTATCATGTCAGGAGACCTAGGAGGACATTTTGTCCAATGCTTTTCAGTAGGCCTCTCCAGTGTAGTTACTCTCTTCTCCTTTATAGTTGATAGCCACCTTTATAATAAGTATTTTGTGAGATTAATACTTTGAGACTGCAAATACCCTTTTCCTCATCCAACCTTAGTGTTGTGCTTTTAGCTTGCTTGTCTGAATTATTATTCAAATGGTTAATAAATGTGATATTCTAGTTGCTTCCCTTGTTACCCTCCCGAGAGGGATCGGGTCTCCGGGAGCAAGGTAAGCACGGGTGGGCTTGTGCTTCCTCACTGATCTGCACTGAACACTTTCCGTTGTTACCCTCCCGAGAGGGACCAGGTCTCCGGGAGCAAGGTAAGCACAGGCAGGCTTGT